AAACGTACGCGCCATCTCGTGGCAACTTTCATAACGATCCCAACAAACATTTCTTTGAGAAGGTTCCTGATACCATCCCTGTGCCTTCCACTGTTTCGGCATGTATGTGAACACATTTAGGACTAACAGGGTTTACTAGAATCCCACCACTCCACCACAGAGTCACCGCAGTAGACGTTAGATGAGCGCTGTCGCTTTGCGGCACTTGTTTTAACGTGTTACATTACAATCTAGTAAATACTGTAAGAGGTTGTGTGCAGTTTATGCCATTCTCAGCTAAATAAGATTTGTCTGTGCAATTCTTCTAAGCATAGTGCGCGCTGTTAATGTTGCAGGCTACTGGGAATCACTGCTTCAGCAGCTTAAGGCACACATGGCAAGAGCAAGGCTGCGTGACAGACACCAGGAACTACTCCGCAAAAAGCTCTTCCAACTCAAGCAGGAGGTAAGCCTCGTCCACAACATGGGGCCTATTGTTAGAAACATCGTAAAGTTAAGACTATTTTTGTTTCGGACAACGGGCTGCTTCACACTGTGCCCTCATCTAGCATCTAAAGCTGCGTTTACACTATAGATTTTTGTCAGCAAATCGTACCGATTTCAAGTGCATTCCAACTAATCGGCTGAAAATCGATAGTGTAAGCGGCGAGTCATCAGAGTCGGAGTCGGAGTCAAGTCGCAGAGTTGAAGAAATAGAACGTGTTCTATTTTTCATGACTCAGACTCGTGAAATCGGCGAGTTGGATAAATCTAATTGGCTTAAAACTTTCACGTGATACGTGAACTTTGACGTAGGTGCGTTGTTGTTTTTTCAATGTATCCATGGCTTAACTTGCCATAATATGTAGTCAAATTCCTCCTTTGACATCCGAAGAAAGTTTCGGTAGCTTTCCTTGTCTTCGTTTAGTAATTCGGGCAATAACCTGTTATAAACGCCTAATTGGGGCTTTCTGCCTATCCATGGCCGTACCCAATGCCTTCTTTTTTTTGGTTGTTTTTTTTTCACCATTAATGCAATAACCAGATGCGCACATACGTCTTTTTCTTCCATTGTCCATCTTCTTACTGCAGTGTTTCAGTACTGCAGTGCTACAACCTACATACAACTACAGTAATCGGGGTCACATCGGGGGCAATATGGACAATCGGTAAGATTTGCTGACAAAAATCGATAATGTAAAAAGCAACTCAACACCAACTTCTATCGGGTCAAGTCGGGGGCAAAGTTGGAATGCACTTAAAATCGGTATGATTTGCTGACAAAAATCTATAGTGTAAACGCAGCTTGATATTGCTTTGCGTTGTGTTGTGTTGCATTGAACTGCGTTTCGTCTTATAGGAAATCCATAATCAGCCTAATTTATAAACAAAACGTCACAAAAAACGTGCTTCTTCAGTGGAAGTAGACTAATATCACAGATTGCTCAAGCAGAGGGCATTGACCTCCTCAGGTCTACATAGATGAAATAATTGATAAGGCATGGTGGTGTAACGAGCCTGGTCACGGCACCAAAATGTAACGAGGAAGATGACGTTACCCAGTTCAAAGTAGATTAGAAAACTCCAAAGTCCAAGCAGTTGTGTTCAGCAAATAGTATTATTGTTTCTTAACCCGCACACGTTGCCTCGTGCCTCGCACACTCACGTCCGACCTTCTCACAACCAAGAACCTTCCCTTTATACATTTCTAGATAACAAAGGAAGTCGCGCGCGCCCGGACAACCACACCCGCTGCCCACATGCACAACAACTCCCTCTCAACCGTTTCGCATCTCCATCATCCATACTACATCAAACGCGCTGCCGCTGACTAACCCATTATGCAACCACTTGTCGCGACATTTCTAAACACAACTACTATTTCTACCATCTGCAAACCACACTTTACAGTGGTTGCCGAGCTGAAATCTAAGAGGTTGATGAGAAATACCTGAAGCCTTAGCAAGTTTTAGGAAATTTGATGAGTGGAAAACCTCTGTGTTCATAAATAATGTTGTTTGTAATATAGCATCAGGAGTGAATAAAAAGGTTTGTTTATATTCACTCCTGTTAGCATGATAGTTTCCACTATTATAATATAAATGCATCTGTGAAAGTTGTCATGTTACTTATGTTGAAGTATTATTGCATTGTAAAAGTGGTTTTGGCATTCCTCGCAGGGTGTTAGCTAGGGAAAAAAATCAGGTGGTCTCGCCATCTGAGTGAAGCGAGGATGCTGCGGGTGCGAAGCGCCTTAGGGACTAGGGAGATGGTGTGGGAGGGGTTTTCCTGAAATTTTTTTGTAATTTGGCCACCCTCATGTCGTCTCTATCAAATTTACCGTACTAGCCATCCAAAAGATGGGTAGACGGGTCTCTGGCTAACACTCTGATTCCTCGAGGTCTGAGACCTGACGTGTTTCAAGTGAACCCTTTATCGTAGCTCATGCAATTGGTTCAGGTGTTAACTTCGTTACGCTAAGCAACGCCAGCAACAGTCGAAACTCGTCTTTCTCTTCCTCTCGTCATTACAGCAAGGCGTGGCAAGCGGACCTCTGTTTCCTATCATTAAGACAGACGAGAGTCCACGCGACGAGCCCGACGCCGGACCGGGTAGAGAAGCTAGTCCCGACGAGATGCCGGCGCCATCTGCCGATGACCAGCCCGTCGCCGGCGACGTGAGCCGGTCTGCGGACGCGGCGGCGGTCAGCGAGGCCGCGGTCCTGAGCGACGCCGGCGAAGAATTGGACACAGGGTGAGAAGCTCGTCGCGGTCACTCGCTGAAAGCCTGCGTGCGCCGGCGGCCGCTGACCGCCGTTGTTTTTCTGACCTTACGTTTTCGAGTCGGGTAACTCTTCCCACACACACCCGCATGCGCACACACGTACGCGCATGCACACGCACGCATGCACGTCCACACACGCACACACACACACACACACACACACACACACACACACACACACACACACACACGCACGCACACAAACACAGACACACCATCCTCACCCGCACCCACCACCTTCGCATGATCACCGCGCGAATTCTCGGCCCCGCTGAACGATCGTGGCCGGCGACCCCCTCCCTCTTTGACCTTTGACCTTTGACCTTTTGCAGGGTGGCCGGCGAGGTCGAGGAGGGCGACGTGGAGGACGAGGCGACGCTGCAGAGCTACGCCGAGTGCGAGGCGGGCGGCTACGAGCCGACCCTTTTGCGCGAGACGGAGCTCGACCCCGGCACGGTGGTCGCTGACCCATTCACCGACCTCGAACGCCTGCAGTTCAAGCGGCACGAGGTGTCTGAGCAGGGTCAGGTTATGGTAGGTAGAGCAGGGTCAGGTCGTGGTAGGTAGAGCAGGGTCAGGTCGTGGTAGGTAGAGCAGGGTCAGGTCGTGGTAGGTAGAGCAGGGTCAGAAATGCTGTCAATCAGCGACCACGCGCTCGCTCATTGGCCGCTACGCGATGACGTGGGCTACTGCCGAGTATAGCGTCATGTCTATCACAGAGGTTTTAACGAAGTCTGGTACGGCGCTCCACGTGGGCGGGCGCGGTCTCCAAAACCGCCGCCGCCGCGGCGCCTGGCTGCGTACGTGGCAAGTTTTTACCAACCTCCTGACCCCGCGCTGCCCGTGGCGACGGCACGTCGTGCGAGTACGTGGTGGCGTGGCCAGGCCAGTTTTTACACGTAGCTAATCGTACGTACACGTAGATACTGGCAAAGCAGCAGCAGCAAGAAATACTGGCCCATGCAGCAGCAGCAAGAAATACTCGCCCCTGCTGCAGCGCGCTCTTGCAGCAGCAAACCAGCAGCAGCACCAAATACTGGTCCCTGCTGTAGCGCGCCTCTGGAGCAACAAATGCCCCCACCCAAGGCCGCCGTAGCCGAGTCGGTGTAGGTGTGACGAAAACTGCGCGATGTTACGCTTCCCGCTATACGGATTCGCGCGCCCGCCCTGCTACATACAACACCCCGCGGTCGCGTGTGCCCAGTCTCGCGGAAGTACGCGGCTTAACCGCTCTTGGCGGTCGGGGAACAACGCATCTTTTGCGCAACGCCACTTGTACCCGGTCTCTCTGGTTTTTACTTAGTGACTACTAAGAAGTAAATCATGTTCCAGCAATTCCTGTCAAACAAGTAGAACTTCACTGATAGCAATGAAATACTGAAATACTATGACTATGAGTATGCCTAATAAACACAAAGCTAATACTTTTATTAATAATGGAATAAATTGAACACAATTAAGGGCCAGTTCAAACTTGTAAGGGCTGTTCAATTTCTCTAAGGGTCTGCTAAAATTTTGGGTGGGCTTGTTCACATTTTGGCTAATTTCATGCCCAGAATGTGTGATAGATAGTGGGTAGGATAGTATTTAGATGGGTAAGTAATGTGTGATAGTGGATAGGGGAGTATCGACATTGGTAACTAATGTGTGATAGTAGGTAGGTAGTATGGGATAGAGGCGAGGAAGGCATTGAAATTGGTGAGCAGTCTGTCGTAGTGCAGAGAATAATAAACATTCGTCAGAAATCTGTAATAGCGACGAGGAGGGTAATGCCATGGGTAGTCGATGTGTGAGAGTAGGGAGAAGGGTAATGACATGGGTAGGTGATGTGTGAGAGTAGGGAGAAGGGTAATGACATGGGTAGGTGATGTGTGAGAGTAGGGAGAAGGGTAATGACATGGGTAGGTGATGTGTGAGAGTAGGGAGGATGGTAATGACATGGGTAGGTGATGTGTGAAAGTAGGGAGGATGGTAAATTAATGACATGGGTGGGTGATGTGTGAGAGTAGGGAGAAGGGTAATGACATGGGTAGGTGATGTGTGAGAGTAGGAAGGATGGTAATGACATGGGTAGGTGATGTGTGAGAGTAGGGAGAAGGGTAATGACATGGGTAGGTGATGTGTGAGAGTAGGGAGGATGGTAACGACATGGGTGGGTGATGTGTGAGAGTAGGGGAGAAGGGTAATGACATGGGTAGGTGATGTGTGAGAGTAGGGAGAAGGGTAATGACATGGGTAGGTGATGTGTGAGAGTAGGGAGAAGGGTAATGACGGACATGGGTAAGGGGAGGAGGAGAAAGGGGTAATGACATGGTAGGTGATGTGTGAGAGTAGGGAGAAGGGTATGACATGGGTAGGTTGATGTGTGGAGAGTAGGGAGGAGGTAATGACATGGGTAGGTGATGTGTGAGAGTCAGGAGAGGGTTTAATGACATGGGTAGGTGAGTGTGAGAGTAGCGGAGGATGGTAATGACATGGGTAGGTGATGTTGTGAGAGTAGGGGAGAGGTAATCGACAGTGGTAGGGATGTTGAAGATAGGGAGATGGTAATGACATGGTAGGGGTGATTGTGGAGAGTAGGGAGAAGGCGTAATGACATGGGTGGTGATGTGTGAAGAGTTAGGGAGGAAGGGTAATGACAAGGGGTAGGTGAATGTGTGAGAGTAGGGAGGAGGGTAATGACATGGGTAAGCAGTTTATCGAAGTGAGAAGAGGATGGAAATTGACATTGGTACGGCAGTCTCTCGTAAGTATAGATGCGTGATGACGATGTGATGTCATCTGTGGTACCAGCAAACGTGTGGTAGATCGGTAAGGGCAGCGCTGTGTGAGGCAAAGGTGGGTATTGATTTTCTTGGCGAATGTAACATGTGATAGTCGGAAAGGCGATTTAACTTCAGCGCGGCCGCTCTTACAGTGGCAACAACGAATGAATGACATATAAATTAGGTTAGTTGGGCTGTAATGATACGCGCAGCACTCATACTCTTGATAAATTGATGAATTATTGTCTGCATATTTGATATTATTGTATGCCCCCGCGACGAAAGTGCGGCGGGGATACTTGGTTTCATGTCTGTGCAGCCGCCGTGGCAGGCGCCGGCTGCAGACAGCTTTCCGCTTCCGCTCTATAGACTCGACCCCTAATTGACGTAGCGTCAGACCAGATACTTTGGTATACTTACACATCTTCGCGAAGAAGGTGCACAGCGTACTAAAGCAGGTCACCTACGACGCTTTATTTGACCGTTTACCTTGACCTTAGATCATATTTCCTTTCCGCTCTGTAGCACTCGGCCCCTAGAGGAGTACGCTTACCAAATTTGGTATACTTACACAAATCTTGGGAGAAGGTGTGTCACGTACACAAAATCAGGTCACATGCGACCTTTATTTGACTTTGACACTTGACCGTTCGATCATATTTTCGCTTCTGCTCTAATAACTCGGGCTCTAATTTACCTAGCACTACAAACTTGATATACTTACACATTTTGGGGAGAAGGTGTGTCACGTAAGCAACAAATCAGGTCACTGCAACTAATTTATTTGATCTTGACGCTTTGATCATAATTTCCTTTCCGCGACTCTAGTAACTAGCGCCTAATTGAGCCTGCGCGACCAAACTATTTGATTATACTACACAATGCTGGGGAGAAGGTGTGTTGGCGTACGCGAAACGGTAAGCTGCAGGGAACCTTTATTTGACATTGGACCTTGACCTTTGACCTCATCATATTTAGCATCATCTGACATAGTCAGATGGCAGCTTGTAGAATCGCACGATCGTCCGTACGCCGTGCGTTCCGTGCGCCGTTTCGCCGTCCGTGGGCACGTCCGTATCCGTGCAAGCAGTTGGGCACAAATCTTAACCGCTTGACGTACGGTCACGATATTTCGGCCACATCGGGGGGGAACGAAAACGAGTTGGGATGTCGAAGCTGGGGGGTCAAAAGGTCAAAGGCAAGAGGTGTAAAAGAAGGGGAACATTCACCGTCTTAACTATAAGGTATAGGGAGGAAAATGAGCAGAATTGCGCACAAGAATCTAAACGGCTTCGAACTAGCCTCGTGATAGTCGGTGTATAGCGATCATGGTGAGGAAAGGCCATCATGGTGCGAACATTGGAGTCACAGGGTCAAAGTCAATGGGCAGGCAGGGCAGATTTTAGACGATTTGTGCTGAGGACACTGTCTGACGGACGATTGAAAAACGAGTGTTTTTTGTTTCACGCGGTGACCGTGGCATTTTTTATGGGCTTTATTGAAATAGGCCATGAAATTGTCCGTTTCTGCGTTGACAATGCGAAGAGGTAATGTGTCGGTAACCTTTTGACCCTCAAGAGGGAGGGTTAAACATGGATTGTTTTATGCTTGTCTGTTAGAAAGAATTTGACTGCCGGGTTGGCTAAGTAGAGATCTAGTACGAGTGCCTGATGTACCAGACGGTACAAATTGTCACATGTGGAAATTTCAAAAAGCTACAATTTGGTTGAAAGAAGTTTGAATGCTCGCTTAAGATCGCTATTAATTTCTATTGGCATTCTGTACTGTAGTAGATTTTTTACATTGTTAACTGTTAATGCCATCTTGCCAGTTTGGCCATCTGCCATTAGTGCATGTGGTGGTGGCTGTTGTAGTTTTGCCTGCGTTTATTTAGTTAGTCAGGTGGTTAGCTCTCTAATTGCAGCTCTTGTAGGCTTTGCGTATGGTAAATGGATTGTAGTGCTTACCTATTTCTGTCTTGCAATTATGTTGTTCTGTCTACTTTATCATACGATGGGAGTTCTTCCATTCTTTAATTCTGTAAGACACTTAACGTACGTCGCCATCTCGTGGCAAGTCTTTCATAATCGTATTTCCACATATACATTTTCTTTGAGCAGGTTCCTGATACCATCCCTGTGCCTTCCACTGTTTCGGCTCATGTTATGTGAATCATCATTTTTAAGGACTAATCAGGGTTACTTAGATATCCCTCACCACTTTCCAGCCACAGAGTCACCGCACGTAGACGTTAGATGAGCGCTGTCGCTTTGCGGCACTTGTTTTATACGTGTTACAAGTTACAATTAGTAATACTGTAAGAGGTTGTGTGCAGTTGTATGCCCATTCTCATGCTAAATAAGATTTGTCTGTGCAATTGCTTCATAAGCAATAGTGCGGCGCTGTTAATGTCGCAGGCTACGGAATCACTGCTTGCAGCAAGCTTAAAGCAACATGGCAAGAGCAAGGGCTGCGTGACAGACACCAGGAACTACTCCGCAAAAAAGCTCTTCCAACTCAAAGCAGGAGGTAAGCTCGTCCACAAACATGGGGCCTATTTGTTAGACAACATCTAAAAGTTAAGACTATTTTTGTTTCGGACAAACGGGCTGCTTCAGCACTGGTGCCCTCATCTGCATCTAAAGCTGCGTTTACACTTATAGATTTTTGGTCAGCAAATCGTACTACGCGATTCAGGAGTGCTTCCAACTAAATGGGCTCGAAAATCGACTAGTGTAAGCGGCGAGTCATCAGAGTCAGAGTTCGGAG